CCCCGGCTGGCAGAGGGCAATGAGCAGGTTCTGATCGCCGACTTTTCGCGGTCTGCCTCAGTCCCCCAACGGCCTGCGACCGTGCCGGTATAATTTTGGATGACGTCAATACCATGATGACCAGGTGGCTAAATTGTACGGAAACTTCGTGATGCTCTCCAACCCTCCTCCTTTCTCATCAGGGCTTGGGACCGGCAACGCGGAGACATCAAGGTGCTCTTTCTAAAATCCTACATATTTTCTCCATTTACAGACGCTTCGTTAATATATTCCTTCGATCGGCTCTGAAAAATGCCTGCAGAGCAGGTCCACTATGCTATATGAACGTCATAAACGTTGTAGCCGATCAGCTTCTAAAATCTACTGTATTTATGCCAGGTCTGAAGTTTGCAAAAAAATATGTGATCGCACATATGGCTATGACCTTGCAGAAAGAAGATCTGGCAAGGTTAAATCTGTCCGATTTGTTTCTCCTATGTTAACCCACACATTTAGATATTCAATCGCATTAACTTTCACTGATTTAACACGTTTCCCTTTGATTTTGTTTCGGTTCTCGTCTTATCGTTGCATAATTCGCTTAATCTCGTAGGCTGTATTTATGTTGTTATGCCAAAGGTCATTGACTGTTGCAATGCTAATCGGTGCCAGTTTCATATGCTAATTCCGCTAATTCAAGCAGTACACCTTTTTGATTTGATGTTGGTCCATAGCTTTATTTGATTTTATTTATCACGGTTATTTGCATGTTTGTGCAACATTACCCTTCAGCCATGCTGAAAAGCAAGACTCTCTAATATTGTCTTAGGTTCTTTTGTGTATTGCACATTACTGACTACGACTATAATGAAATACTAATATTTCAAAAAACAGATGAGTTGAATTTTACTTGATAGAATCGCAACCTAGATGATCAGTTCGTGAGTTAGAAACACAAGAAAACGAAGCATATATTCACTCAAATTTGTAATTTTTCAGGAATGCTTTTACCAAACATTCATTGACCTCCTAAGAAAGGATTGATAACTAGAAATTTGATTTAAAATCGGGCTTCCTCGCAATGGCGCATGCAAACGTTCTAATTTCCATGTTAAAAAGCGAGATTTTCAGATCGTTCGCCGGCTGCCGTCGTCTGGTGCGCAGTAATTTACCACCAGAAAGATTCAACTCTTCTAACGACATGACATCAAAGTTGGAAAATAGCCCCTAAAATAAGCACAGTTAATTGAATCATAAATGAAGTTAGGCAACGATTAGGCATCACAATCCGCATCAGTTCTCAACGGATGAACGGTGGGAACTTAGTTTTCATTTTCTCATCTACTGCCCAAACTGTTAGCCAGCGAAATTTACTTAAACAAATCCTAAAGTATACGATAAGTTGTCACAATCCTGGACATAACAATGAACAGGTAGTAAACAGAAACAAGTGAAAGTGTATCCGTGTGAAGCTGACCACATCTGACCCAAAATGATAGTTCCTCTTTATTGGGGTCGACCAGACATCAGACAGCGAACGGAACAATTTATGGAATGGAATTCGATAGGCTTCACTAGGAACCAGCACCGACCTTGTGCTTCGTCGTTTCTAAAGGCATTGTTGAGAACATTGGTACAGCGGGAAAGTAGAACTGCTCAGAGCATCTATCGCTTCTATGAAGCATCTAGATAGGATAAACCCAAACTTT